CCTGTGTAGTTCAGTTATTTTCTGTTGCACTGTTCCCTGTAGGACCGAGTGATCATCAACCGCCTGGACAGCATCTGCCACGCCATCCTGAAGGGAAAGTGGCCTTGGCCAAGTGAGCAGCACGGCTCTGCTGGTTCCCAGGCTGCCAACTCCTGCCTGGCCAGCAGCTTGGCCCAGCATCACCACCACCGAGCGGGTTTCCTCCCCAACACGGCCTCAAGCTCCGTCGCAGGCCAGGCCACGGGTCAGCAGGGGGACCCCCATCCCTCCCCCTCTCACAAGACTACCTAAGGTGAGCTGTGACCTGATGAATGAATCAGCGGATTCCCCTCGTTGTACATATTGGTGCATCTTTCATCTGTCTACGTTTACCTCCATTGTCTCATGCCATGGGTCATACAAGTGGTGTCCAGTTTAAACGGACTGCTCGACTCCCCGAGAGCTAGCAGACTGACAAGGACTCTGCAGAGTGCGTCCTCACTTTGACTTGTACCTGTTGTGCTCCCAGTCTGGCTGTTTCTTCAGTCAGCTGAAACAGGTTTTACACCAGAAGATGTTGATATAATTGATGGCACATCTGTGAGATGTAACTCCATCAAATCTACTGATATCCTAATGTGCATATAATCAAAATATGTTTTACATGTATATACAGTGCACATTCAGTATATAATGTAATATAGCTTTTCGGTTTATAGCTCATTACATAAAAGGTCTTGACTGAAGTAGGTATGTTCTGTTTATGCATAATACAAAATGCAAGCCGGGTTTTTTCAGGTGGCACTGGGCACCTCGAGTTCACATCATTGTTTTGCTGCTTTTTTGTAAAGTTCCCTGTCGCTGTAATGTGTACTTGATATTATATATGTGTTGATATCAGACTTGGGTAGGTAGTCACACGGTAAAAGATTACTTTCATCACAACTTAACAAAAGTTGTGTATCCCTTAATTTAGGGAACAATGCAGTGTTTAGTTTTCAGTCCAGTGTGTTTTGTCCAGTCATTTCATCCATGAGCCAGCGAACAGATGGGTTGTAACCTACCTATTTAACTCTGTTTCATTCAGAGGTAAACAAACTGGAAAATCTTAACTCATAAACTTCTAAAGAAGACACCTCGCAACCAAAGACGAGAGAGTAAATGTGAAAATATACGTTAAGGCTCATGGTTTTACCCAGGTCTGGTTGACAGCTGCCACTGTGTTGTGTCTCAGTCCATATGTATGTTTAACAAAGCCATCATCTCTCTCCCATTCTTGTCTATCCCTCACCCACCCCGTCCACCCTGACAGTACATGCCGCGGGGCGGCGCATGCGGGCGCGGAGCTTGGCGCCTCACCTCCTTGCCTCTCTTACAGGAGAGGCTGGTGGCTCCTCCCTTCCTCCCCGAGCTCAAACGAGCAGGAGGTCGGAGGTCTTTCGATTATGAAGCTGCTGCTGCAGCGGCTGGCCAGGGTTTTGGTGGGGAAACA